TTAAACTCATGTTCAGGGTCCCAGGGTTTCAGGACGAAAGTTCACCTGGGTCCCACATGTGTAATAAACCTTCTGACTCTCCAACCCTTCCTAGTGTCTGAAGACTTTCTTGCCAAGTTCGTTCCACAACAACACATTCTCCTTTGAATGAGGACACATTTAGAATAATGTCTAGTATAAGCTCACATTACATAATTTTTGCTGGCATATGGAATAAGTGCTTATGATATAAATAGTAATAAAAGTACTAGCTAAATGTTACATTGGAGTTATTAAGTCCAGACACTGGGCTAAGTTGCTTTCCATGTATGACTCACGAATCCTCTATATAACTATCTGGAATAGGTTACTAATCCCACTTTATAGATACAGAAACTGAGGCTTAAGAGGTTTACAAGTATTCCCAAGTCCACATGGCTTTGTCACTAACAGTGACAAAGCCAAGATTCATATCTAAAACATCTGGTTTTAGGGCCTAAAAGCTAAATTACTATGTTATTCTGACCATTAGGCTTCATTTAGACCTCTAAAGGACTAAATATAAAAAATCAATATTTGTATAATTGGATATTGTTTTTGTTTTTAAAAAGCTTCACTTTTGCTACCCATTCAAACTTTCTGTTAAGCTTAGGCAACTATTTCTATAACTGGTTCTGATTTGATTAAGATTTAAGTCTTGAAGTTTTTCCGTATAACAATGCATGGAATTAGGTATTCCTACAAGTCTTCTTGATCATTATATCCATTTGGATACAGAAACATTCCTAGAATTACCTGCACCAAACTCCTTATTTGACAGAACAGTTTGGGTAATTCTCTGAGGATTCTCTGTCATAAAAGACACAGCTGTTTAAGAGGACAAAACCATCAAGCACACAGTATGTATCTGGATCTCCATATAGACATGGGGATTATTTTTGAAAACTGAGAAAGTCTCAAAATTCTCTTCCAAGAAAGCAAGCATTATGCTCACTAAGGACTCCACAGCAGTTCTAAAGGCCATTTCAGACTGACTGTAATGACTCCTTTCCATTTTCACAGAAAATAGCCTTCAAACCTAGAACCATAACAATGGAAGACGAGCTGGAGAAAAGGAACATTGGTGATGGAGGGAAAAGAAAGAGGGGAGGAGCAGAAAAAACTAGTCTTGCTTTCTAATCTAAAGGAACCTGAAATTCTTTAGACTTGATAGACAGACTCTGGCTTCCCTTTCTTTCAGATGACAAACGTGTCCTAGTGGGTTTATCTGGCTCTTCAATAAGATCTCGTCTCTTCCTTTTGCCCTCTGCCTCTGTTCTTCCTTTTTCCAGCAGTAGTGTAGATGGAAAGGTAACATGTGTCATCTGCTGTTATTTGCTTGAGGAAGGTAGAATATGATACCTGTCAGTGTAATGGCTGCTCCCTTTCCAGCTGGTCAGCAATGCTTAGGAGTGAGAAGGCTGTTCAGGAAGCATGGGACCTTCTCCCTCTAAATGCCAAAGCAACCAGGAATCCATTGTAAATAGGCAGTTTCCAAGGTGTGGAGAATACCAATATTTATGAAGCAAATGTATTTCACAGGGCCTCCAGAACCCTGCAGTTTCAGGTTTAGCTTCCCAAAAGTACATATAAAATGTTAAACTTGCGAAAGACAGGAAACTTTCCCCAGGCTAAAAGTCTCTGTTGTAAGATAAAGAGTTGTAACACAGCAATGTTGCTGGCTCAAAGACAGACAAGTTACTGACTGATATGTAAAGATACCGGGAACCTGCTGTGAGGAGAGAGAATGTTTGCTAAGATCAAGCTTTTGTTGGTGGATCAACTTAACCTCTTGCAAATTGAATTATGGAATGTCACCTTGCTTGTTTTACTGAATGTTACCAGCCTCTATTGTTAAACTTGTTAAACTATACTTAGCAAAAACCCCACCTATGTTCTCTTCCTGTAACTTCCTGGTTTGGAGAATAAATGCAGGAAGAGAACCCCAGTTCTTGGTTAATATCCCAAAAGGAAGGAATGCCTCTCTCTTGAGGGTTCCAGGAGATTAACCCCTTTGGGGCTTCTCATTGCTCAGAAGAGATGGACTTTGAGTAATCTTTTGCAGCTCCATCACCCAGGGGAAGAGGGGGGACAAATCCATGGGAGGCAAAGCAACACCAAGGACTGTAATTCTTTGAGCCCCAGAATATCTGGATAAGAAGAGAACTGCCAGGTAGCAAAGAAGCAGGCATGTCTGTCTGTCTGTCCCTCTTTCCATGTGTGTGTATTTACTGTACATTCCCCAGACCTCTCTTCAAGAGCCAGGGACTTATTCCTCCAACTACTGGGAACTGGCTGCTGGCCGTTGACACTCACAGCTGATTCCTCTGGGAACTACCCTTGAGAATTACCCTCCACCAGAGAAAGCTGCCTCACCCTAAGATTACTTAATCCCTCCGCAAGAGCAGTCCAAATCCAATGCTTGCAAAAGAATCGCCAGGCCTCCTTGCATGGATGTGAGACAACTCAAAGGCCATTCCAGCCCCAGAGCTCCTTCCTCTGCCCAAGCTTGCCTTTCTCACTGGCTTCCAGAGTGGAGAGCACTATCTTGAATCCTCTCCCCAAATCATGAAGCAGGTAAGCGGAAGAGCTGGGATTCAAATCCAAATCCATTTGACTCTGAGCTGTAGGGCTCTATCAACTGTATCAAGTCCTTGACTTTGATTTACAAAATATGAAGGCTTACATCTTAGCAAGACATACAAAGTCCCTTTGAAAAAGGGTGACCCCCACTTTCATAACATACGAAATTCGCTCTGTGAAACTGCTTGCTGTGTGACAAGGTGGATTGATTAAGTTTAAATAGTGTTTGAATTGCTTAAAAAATGTTGTTTGAAAATCCCCCTCAGCAATTCAGCCCCCTTGATAGAAGTTAAAAGCTAAATATTAGCCTGCACTTAGAGAAGTTTGAATTTTGCTTGCTGTTCCCCACCCAAGCTGCCCCTGAGCGATTAACTGGCTTGTTTCAGCTTCTGTTATCAGCTTGCACTAGGCCTCCCCAAACCCCCTCCTCAAGCCAGGAGGGTATGTGTGTATGTGTGTGACTATATGATAACTATAAGTGTGTGACTATTTGATAATTTTAACTGTGTGACTAATGTAAAAATGTGCCTTTTTAAAAACCCTCTAAACTTCAAGTCAGGGCTGCTCTCTTCCAAGACTTTCTTGGAGGGACAGTCACTGGCTGGCCAATAAAGACCCCCTTTTAAATTCTCAATTGGGTATTCTCTTCCTTTTCTGGCAGCAGCCTCACAACACCTTCTTATATGACTGTCCTTTCCAGTCTCACATCCCATCACGTGCTCCCGTACAACCCTTTGTCTGATCTCTTTCCTTTCCCTGAACATGTCATGCTTTCAGTTTCCCTGGAATAGCTCACTGTCCTTGTCTGTATAATGAATGCCTCTTTCTCCTACAAGTCTCACTTCAAGTGCTCCCTCTTCTGTGATGAGTTTCCTGGCCCCTGGGTGGGGTTAAGATCATCAGCCTTCAAGCTCCCACAGCGGGTGGTGTGCCCTTTAGTATGGTAACTTAATTATTGTAATGAGCTCCTTGCAAGCAGGGACACGTCTTTTAACTCTGCTTCCCCAGCCAGGCATTTTAAAGGTGTTTTGTTGAATAGGTAAATAAATGAACTCAATTGAGGGGCTGGTCCCAGCAGCCTGGGATGCCATCCAAATTTGAATAAATTGTGACCTCCTTGAGCACCAGGACTAGGTTTTCTTTATCTTTGTATCCTTTCCAGCAACTAACAACAGATTCTCCTGCTCATGTGAAACATTCAGAAAAAACAAAAAACAATAACAAAAAAACAACCCTGAACTAAATAAGGTCTCTGCAGAAAGGGCTGCTGTACAAGAAAATTACTGCACTTTCACAGTTCAGTCTAAACTGCTTTTTAAAATCTCGACTATTTAAGATACATAGGATATTTCTCTACCCAGTCACTTGTCCATTAATATGCTCCTTAGTTCCAATTTTTAAAATCTCTCTTTTGTTTGAAACTTTTTTTTTCTTATTTAATAGAGCCCAAGATGACTTAGAGCTTGCTAAATTCCATTTCTAGGTCAGAAATCAAATCTAATGTGGACACATCAAATCAACCAAGAAGTTTTCCAGCTGGCCAGCTTAACACAACATCTTTGTTTTAAAGGGCCCCTTTGAAACATAAATATGTCATTAATCTACAGGGTGTTTTCTCCCCCTACTTTCTGAAACTAATGATTAATTACTGGAGAGAGGTATGGATATAGGTATAGGCACCAAACACTACTACCTGTAGCACAAAGCTGAGGGGGCGGGGAGAAACCCTTGTCCTAGAAACATGAAAAAGGCAAGCCAGTCTTACTGGGCAAGTAGCTGCATTCTCTGCACAGGAAATGGTCCAGTTTTGTTATTGTTCTCAACGAAAATGTCCAAACAACCAAAAAATTGCTGAGCATTGGCTGAGACTAGTAACAATAAGAAGGCTTAAAAGTCCTGTTCTTATTTTTTAATGGATTTGGGAAAGAGGAAGCTCTGTGGCATGTAAGGAACTGAATTTTCTGTGTCCTGCAGAATTTTTTTCACATTACTCTCTCACAGCCTCTGCTGCTGGTCTGGTGGGGAGTAAGAAAAAATCATGATAACATTTTCCAGAGAGAGCAGCACATGTGGTAATCTAGTTCTTCAAAAGCCTCTGATTATGTGGGAGCCCAAAACACAGAATGTGAGGCTTTTCCTCTCTGGTTTGATTTTTTCATAAGTGCAGGCAGTCTGTTCAGTGCAATTTGCAGGTACATCTTATTTCAAAATTTTGCTCACATGTTCACGTCTTGGATTCAGTGATTCGTAACTCTATAAGTAGGCCTGTTCAGGTTTCACTTTTTATTCTTTGTCTTTAAAATGTTCACTCATTTTGATTTTTCAGACACTATTCTCAGTCCTGGTTACAGGCAAGTGGTAATCGGAAAGCACATTGTGGCAGGATTTAGTGAGTGTACCTTTTTAAACATCCTGGTGGAATCCTCGCTTATCTGCATGAACCGCATAATCACATTGTTCAGATAGATGTCACTCAAGGTCGCATGGTCTTTGCTTTCTCTCCTCACTTGGTTCAGGAGCAAATACCAGCAGTTCACTGGAGACAACAGGTTCTGGTCTTTCCTAAGAAGTGAAGATAGAGAATTACCACCCATTTCAAAGCTTCCCCAATCAGCTTTGAAGCCACCAAGGCAAAATAAGGAGTCACAAAAGATGAGTATTGTCACTGTTCTTTCTGCTCTGAGCATTTCTCAGAGCAGGACACTCAACAGCCAGCAGAACAGCCGTCCAGCCTGTGGGTGGCACAGAGCTAGCAATTCTCCAGGCTTAGAAGGAAAAAACTGGACCAGAACACCGGTGAAAACCCACAGTCCTGACAAGGCCATGGGACCCTAACATACACAGTGCTTGGGCGGGCTTTTGGCTTTAAACATCCCTTTGAAGAAGCAATTCATGTTTATTTAAAAATCTACTGACTACTATCACACTGACCGACTGTGGTTTGCCACGGCATACAAAGTCTGCTTTGAATATTCAGTAGTTGGAAAAGCAATTTGGCTAGTTATGCTTTCCATGGAACATAAACTTGAGGGTTATTTGTTACTCCCCTGATACATAACTTCCAGCCTCCCAAAAAGTGTTCCCGGGAACCAGAACTTTATGGCATTGTCTCAAGGCTCATGAAAAGAACCAAGAAGTTTGCTGGCTTATGACTTGTCACATGTCCTACTGAAACCCACTAAACTGTTTCGCATTTGTAACTGCTTCTTGCTCTATCCCAGATAATCAAGTCAAAAGTAAAAACTCTGAACAAGAACAGTGAGCAACTGGGATGTTACTGTTTAAAAAAAAAAAAAAAATCCAAAGTACAATGTTTTGCTTTTTACTTTAAAAACTAGGTGTAAACTTGCAAAAACAGCACAGAATGTTTATCCTAACTCAGGGACACAGTGACATTTCATCAGATATGTTACTCTCCTGTTATTCACGATCATTTATGACCCTGAATATTTATTAAGTAAGGAAAGAAATGATTGTCAGGTCTTTCTGCTATTAATTCTTTCAGATTCATGATTTAATACTACATCAAGTCAAAACCCCTTCTAGAAGAAAAGGGAAGAGAGGACAGAAACAGTAATGGCTGTAGGAAGAAACACCTATCTAAGGTACTAACACTTGCACCTCTGAGAGCAGCCCCCATTCTCCCCACTGGCACACTAAGAATTATACCCTCCACGTTTTTTCTCAAAGCCATCAGGCAAGGCAGTGGTTCTCTGGCAGGTAACATTAGCATTTCTACTGACATTCTCTATCTACCCAGCCCCAGAGGTCAATGTTACCTTATTTATATTAACATTTATGTATATCTCTTATGCTGAAGTAGCCCATACATTTTTTTTTAGAACATTTCATCCTTCTTTGTACCCTCAGTGCTCTGCCACATAGTAAGCACTAAATAAGTGTTATTTTGTTTATTGAATAAACACATTATTATTATTGCCTTAATAATAGTAGTAATAATAATAATAATAATATCAGTAATAATAATAAGCAGCTATCATTTACTGAGCACCTACTATGAAACAGGTTAAGATTGTGGACTCTGGACTATACTGTTCAGGTTCATATCCCAGAACTATCATTTACTAGCCATATGGTCTCGAGCAAATTATTTTAACCTCTCTATGCCTCAGTTACTTTGTAGAATGGGTAAAACAACAGTGCTTATCTCATAAGATTATTGTGAGGATTATTTTAGTTAATATATATTTTTAAATGCTTCCTATAATACCTTAGGTACATGATAAGTGCTTTATGAAGTTAGCCATTCTGTCCAGGGGCTGCTCTGAAGACTTTACAGACATTAACTCTACTTAATCCCTGTCACTACCATTTAAGGCAGAGATTCCTTGTATCCTTTCTATCAATGAGAGAACTGAAGCTTAGCAAGGCACAGTGATCTGACAAAGACAAAAGCTAGCGTCAGAGACAGTCTTTAAGCACGGGAAGGCTGATCCAAGCCTTGGTCTTTCAATTATGCAGTAGCAATTTTAGGCCAAAGACTGTTCTAAACAAGAAGCATCTCAAAACTGAAAAAGAGCTAGATTTTAGAGGCCAGCTTAAATGACTGCTAATGTTACTGTGCTGAAGATACAACATCTGTGTGGTAAAGGGGAGAGGAATATTGAGTGCTTATCCCATGCTGGCTACCAATCATATCAAGGACTTTGTCATGTTTCTCACTTATTGGACATAAAATCTCATTTTACAAATTAGAAAACTAAGGCTCAGAGAGGTTAAGTAACTTGATGACCAAGTTAATCAGAGTGGAGCCAGTGTTCAAACCCAGGCCTGGCCAACTCTTTAATAAAGCCTGTCTTTAAGTATTTCCTCATCCTGGTTGATCCTTTCCACAGACTTATTATCCATCTTATCTTCAGCCCCATATTTAATAATAAACTTACTCAAGTCTTATAAGATTTCAAGTTGTTTATCTTTTGAAGAAAACTACTGAACAAACCAGGAGAAAAACAAAAAGGGGCATCCATCCACGTAGGGGCCAGACAGTTCACAACCAATTACGAAGTGCAAAACACAGAAGAAGACACTCAGAAATATTTACTGAATGGACGAATGGACTGTCTTCTTATTTGCAATTGCTTTTAAAAAGGAACAGATACTATAAATGTGAGGAGAGTATTGGCTCCAGAATCCTCTTTCCATCCCCAGTCTCTATCAAGTACATTTGACATATTTGTTTACCCTGGGAATCATCATTAAGATTTATGTCTATGCTGGACCAACACTAGAGGTTAAAGTCATGGGGAGGGGAGAGGGAGAGAGGACAGGGAGGAGGACAGGGAGGGAGAGAGAATTCCTTGTGCATTTTTGCATTTGCTTCTACAAAAGCACCCCAGGGAGAGTTCCCACCCTACTTCCCCCTCCCCATCCAAGGTCATGGAGGGGTGTAAAATGGAACTGCAAAGCCAAAGGTCTGGAGAGCAGGCTGAGAGGACAGAGTGCATTTTTGCATTTGCTTCTACAAAAGCACCCCAGGGAGAGTTCCCACCCTACTTCCCCCCACTCATCCAAGGTCATGGAGGGGTGTAAAATGGAACTGCAAAGCCAAAGGTCTGGAGAGCAGGCTGAGAGGACAGATCTGGCTGTCCCCTGTGCAGGTGGGCAGATGGTTTTGTGTTTTACCATTTCACTGAGATAGTAGCTCTTCTAGTCCAGGGATGCACAGCGATAGGGTTGGTGGTGGGGAAGCCCTCAGTTCCAAATCTTTACCGTGCACAGCCCTCATTTTTTGTCACCATGTGGGACTGAAGGGCAGATACAACTGCCAGTTCAGTTTTCAGTTCCCTCTTCCTTTTTTGGCCCCTAGAAATTCCCCTTTATTTCCTGTGAGTTCAGTTATACATTTAAAAGGACATCTANTTACCCTGGGAATCATCATTAAGATTTATGTCTATGCTGGACCAACACTAGAGGTTAAAGTCATGGGGAGGGGAGAGGGAGAGAGGACAGGGAGGAGGACAGGGAGGGAGAGAGAATTCCTTGTGCATTTTTGCATTTGCTTCTACAAAAGCACCCCAGGGAGAGTTCCCACCCTACTTCCCCCTCCCCATCCAAGGTCATGGAGGGGTGTAAAATGGAACTGCAAAGCCAAAGGTCTGGAGAGCAGGCTGAGAGGACAGATCTTCTGGCTGTCCCCTGTGCAGGTGGGCAGATGGTTTTGTGTTTTACCATTTCACTGAGATAGTAGCTCTTCTAGTCCAGGGATGCACAGCGATAGGGTTGGTGGTGGGGAAGCCCTCAGTTCCAAATCTTTACCATGCACAGCCCTCATTTTTTGTCACCATGTGGGACTGAAGGGCAGATACAACTGCCAGTTCAGTTTTCAGTTCCCTCTTCCTTTTTCGGCCCCTAGAAATTCCCCTTTATTTCCTGTGAGTTCAGTTATACATTTAAAAGGACATCTATTATATTTTAGCCAGCATTTCTGGGAGTTTTGTAGCAGAAGTGTTTTTCATATTATCTTGTCTGCTGTATTTCCAGAAAAGAAAGTCTGCACTGCCTTTTGAATATCTCCCCAATAGATCTGTTTCTCTCTGTCTCCAGCACTGCTAATTCACGCCATGACTGCAAGAGCCCCCTGTGTGATCTCCCTCCCTCTACTCTATCTTCCTACAGTCCACGATCCTACCTATGGTCTTCACCATCATCTTAAAACCCAGGTGCAAGGGGTAATCCTTCTACTTAAAATTCTCTATAGGTTTCTCCTGTCCTGAGGAAAGGGTCCAGACTGCACAGGAAGGTCTAAAGGCCTCCACGATGTACTCAGATTTACACCTGTGGCCACATGGCTCACCAGCTCCTTACACGACTACTTTCTGTTCTGCAAACTGCCCTACACCCCTTCCCTTCTGATCTTTTACCCATGATGTTCCGCTTGTCTGGAATATCTTCCTCTGCTCCCCTTCCCCGGCCAACTAGCCCTCTGGGTCTTTGCTTGGACATCACTTCTTCTAGGACCTTCACTGGACCTTCCCTTCCCCACCACTGCTATAGAGCAGATTTCCACCAGGTCTGTCCAGGGTGTCCCACCCTTGCCCCTGTCTGAGCACCCGCATACCCGATTGGAGTTGTCTGCTCACTTGTCTCTCTGTCTCCGGGACTTAAATTATAAATTTCATTATCACAACAACCTATGTGTATTTTTGAAACCTTGCCCCTGTCTGAGCACCCGCATACCCGATTGGAGTTGTCTGCTCACTTGTCTGTCTCCGGGACTTAAATTATAAATTTCATTATCACAACAACCTATGTGTATTTTTGAAACAAATGAATTACGGTTAATGTCAGGCTTAACTGCAGTCACTTATAAGCATTTTACTAAAAACTCTTGTTTTAAATCAGTCTCAATTGCAATGACCACAAACGTAATGGGTGGAGCGGGGGTGGGAGCCCTAAACTCAAGCAACCCTTATTGCTTATTTTCCTATAAAATCACTACAGAAATCCTGAAGTTTTTGCTGGAAGAAACAGCTATTTAAAATTTGCCCTTTCAATTATCTACTTGTGGCAGACATCAACTCCAAGTTTTCTATAATTAAGAATTTTACAAATACACATCTTCTCTTCTTATATATAAAGTTAGCCATAAATACATATGTATTGGAAAGAGAAAAATGTCAAGAGAATGCTATTAACTTAAAATATGATAAATTGATGCCCATAAATTATAAATATAGTGGGTTGCTTTTATTTATAAGGATATACCCACTAATAGCTTCTCAGACAAAAATGAAAAAAAATCTAAAAGAGCTAAGGGTAGTAAAGAGGCAGGATATCACCTTGGAAAGGTCAATTTGGGTCAGGACTCTCTTACTTGTATTGCTGATGATCCTTAGTGCTTCTTGTTTTTGCCATGAACCTTTCTGCTAACTTCTCTAGGTTCCGAGAATATTCCGTCTCAATTTCAGCCTTTTTTCGGAAGAAATCTTGCAGGTCCTGGAGAAGCTGGACTCGCATTTCCGTTTGCTGCTCCAGGCATTTTTGTTGTTCTACCAGTTGAGCTCGAATTTCTAAAGAGAAGAGAACCCATTTGATGATCTTATGAAAATTACTGAGGTGTACTGGTATGTGCAAGATATACGTAACGAAGCCTATGATATATTTAGCTTTGTATTGGACTTTTATTACAATGCTGTGTCCAGTTGGCTCTTTAAATAATATGTCTGCTGACCCTTTAAAAGAACGAGATGAGCCTCAGAAAAGAATATGATATTTTAGAGTAGAAATAATGGGTAACATTTGTAATGCCACAAACACGCATAGAGTCATGAGGAAAAAAAATTAAAGGCTTTCAGATAACAATTCATCACATGTGACATCTTTGGGTAGCTGAGAATATCATAATTTTTTCAACAGTCTTTTACCTCAACTATCTCTTTTGAGTTTGAATGGCAAAGAAATGGGAATCATTTCGTAAAGACTCTGGATATATTTGCCAGTTGGCACATATAGAAACTGACATCTGGTAATTTTTATTTAGTGCATATATTTCTAGTTTGTAAAACACATAGCTTCAGGGCTTATAGGAATGCTGTGCCTAAAAATAACTTCTTTCTAAATCCAAATTATCCATTCATGACAGGGCAATCCTCAGAGTCCACTGTATTATTCTGTTCACAATATTAAGGCCTCTTCACTTGGCCTGTACTTTTTACACATTGTTCAAATTAACATCCTTATTGATACACATAATCCACACTATTCAAATTAACACCTTTATTGGCACATAATCCTGAAAGAATCGACAATTTTAATATATTAGGAACATATGGTTAGTCATTTAGTGATTTAGCAAAAGCACAAAAGCAAAATGTGGCATGCAAAAATATCCGTAAATAACCGTATCAAAGACATGTGTGTTTTGAAAATGATCTTCAGTAACTAATAACTACTGACTTGTTTTTGTCCTAAGACCCAGGGTTAACCTCCAAAGACAAGAATATTCATGCTGAAAAACTTTATTTCATCTTCCCCAGGATCAGTGCATATTCCTTAAAAGTGAGGGCTGAATCTAATTCAGCGGAGTTAGTAGAAATCAATGTTCAAATAACACCTCTTCAATTTCTTCCTATTATTCCTTTTCAATAGAGAAGGAATTAGCTGACAACATATGTGTATAAACTTGACCATGTTTAATCAAGCTCATTAATAGCAGAGCAGTCAAGTTCTGAATCGGGAGTTAGGAAATGTTTTCAATTTAATAATAGCTAACAATAATGTAATGTTTACTATTCTATGCTCGAATGCAGCAAGTACTAGTATTATTTCCCATTTTACAAAGAATAAATTGAAGTTTAAGGAGAGTAAATACTTATCTAAGGACTTCAGCTAGTAAGTGGTACCCCTCCCCCTACAACTCTAACCCTGATCTGTCAGTCTGACTCATCAAATGCTTCCCATCCTCCTTGCGTCCATCCAACATTTTTTGAGCACCTGTACTGTACCAGGCATATTCCCTGGCAAAGAAGACACATTAACTAATGAAACAAGATCTTTGCCCTCAATAGGTCATCTCCAGGCAATGCCATTTCTGGGGAGCCCTGGGGAAAGATAGCAAAGTATTCCTCGAGTGTCCTCTCTTGGTTTCTCCACCTCTAGATTGGGGGATCCTATTACTAATCTCACAGAAGTATGACGAACACCAGAGTAAACACATTATTATAGGCTTTTAACTACCACGAACAGCATCTGGTTTTTAGTCAATCAAAGTAAGTGTTTTCCAATACAGTATTAAATCAGCATGTCTGCCCAACTCTCTCCAAAATACAGAGCTATTTTTGTTTCATAAAAATAAAAAAATCAAGGGTGGGGGTATTTCTCATTCAGCAATCCCAGTAAGTTTTTAAGATGAAGTAATTTTAGCACATCTTGCTGTGCTAAAAGAACATAAATCAATCATCTCAGGCTGTCAACTAGTTTTCTCTGTTTTGTTGTTGTTGTTGTTAACCTGCCTTAGTGTCAAATGAGAAATAAAATGGCTGAGAGTACAAATCTCATCAGAGGTACACAAAAATCATATGGGCTCCTTCTTGGGTCTCATTTTTAAATATTCTCTTGCTTCCATCAGTATTAAAATCAAGAACTAGGGAGTTCTGAGAAGGACCGTATTTAAACAATTAAATATTCATCCTCATTTTATGAGGAGTAACTGTTACTCATGTTACCTGTAATTTTCCAATCAAAATAGGCTGCTTGCAGCATTTTCTACAATAGTAAAAAAATGGAGAGGGAAAGAATTTGGAGTATCTTTGTGAGAAAACAAAATATGTTGCAAAAAGTGGAGGAGAATCCATTCAATTACCTCTTTTTTAGGAGAGTTTAGGACAAATGAGGGAAGGATTGTAAAAAGATCATCTTTAAAGAAAGTGCTATCATTAGAAACGTCTTATTAGGAAAAGAAAACCTTTGGATTCCTCACACTGCACCAGAGCCACAAGGCAGCACAATACAGTGGGTTACCTCCTTGCACGAATGGCATGGCCATATTAACATGACCTTGGTTTGAGCTAACCTTATATGGCACCAAAGAATTTTAAAGATTTTTAGATAAACAAACAAATGAGTAAAATAAATGCTCAGTCATATAAATTTTGGTCTGCTGCAGAACAGATCAAAGAAGTCCGTGGTGCACTGGGGCCTACTGTATGAATCCTGTGGGGCCACAGGTGGCTGCAGCTGGAGGCCACTGTCATCACAGGAACCACAGAATCATTAGGGTTGGAACTGGTGAGAGCATAACTTCAAGCAGTGATTTCTAAAAAAATTGGGAGCCTTATTTCTGCACAAGGTACTGCAGCTTCCCTACTCCTGAAGACACTTTGTCTACGAAGGCCCTTTCTATTAGTTTTCTTGGGTAAGTATTGACCTGGTTCATTTTATTCAGATTCAAGGTTCATTTTAGTTTAGTTGAACAAGGAAATTACTGAGCTCGCATTTTGTATTAGTCAGTCTTAGGCACTTGGGGATACAAAGATTTGTAAGACACAGCTCCTTCTGGTAAGGAAGACCAGAAGAAATCCTCAACCAATAATATCAATACAGTGTGTTCAGTGTTATAATAAAAGAACATACCAGGAAACTATGGAAAGAGGAACAGAAACTGTCCCAGACTGGAAGAGTATGAAAGACATAACGCCCCAAAGGATAGGCAGGTTACAACACACATAGCTGTAATCACCAAGGCAGTGGAAAGACAACCCATAGGATAGGAGAAAATACTTGTGAATCAAGAATTTATCTGATAAGAGACTTGTGTATAGCATATACAAAGAACTCCTATGACTCAATGATAAAACAAAAACCCAGTTTAAAAAATGAGTAAAGGATCACAATAGATGTAAAGGATAGGCAGGTTACAACACACATAGCTGTAATCACCAAGGCAGTGGAAAGACAACCCATAGGATGGGAGAAAATACTTGTGAATCAAGAATTTATCTGATAAGAGACTTGTGTATAGAATATACAAAGAACTCTTATGACTCAATGATAAAACAAAAACCCAGTTTAAAAAATGAGTAAAGGATCACAATAGATGTTTCTTTCAAGAAGATATATAAAAGGCCAATAGTATATGAAAAGTTGCTCAGTATCATTAGTTATCAGGGAGATGAAAATCAAAAGCACAAAGAGGTACCACTTCAAACTCATTAGGATGGCTATAATAAAATAAACAGATAATAACAGGTGTTGTGGGGGTGTGGAGAAACTGGAACTCTCATACACTGCTGGTGGGAATGTAAATGGCACAGCCACTTTGGAAAACAGACTGGCAGTTCCTCAAAAGATTAAACATGGAGTTACCATATGACTCAGCCAATCCACTCCTAGGTGTATATATATATCCAAGAGACATGAAAATATATTTAAACACAAAATGTGTACATGAGTGTTTATAGCAGCATTATAGCTGAAAAGTGGAAACAGCCCAAATGTCTACTGACTGATAAAACACATAAAACATGGTACAGTCATACAACGAAATACTGTATAGCCATAAAAAAGGAATAACATACTGATTTATGTTACAAAGTGGATGAACCCTGGTGAATAAGCTTAGTGGATTAAACCACTCACAAAAGACTATATAGTTTATTATTCCATTCATGTGAAAGGTCCAGAACAGACTAATCCATAGGGAGAGAAAGTAACTTAGCAGTTGCCTAGGATTGGGAGGTTTGAGGGGGATGGGAAGTGACTGCTAATGGGTGCAGGGTTTTTTTGTTGGGTAATAAAAATGATTTAAAATTGATTGTGATGATGGTTGCAAAACTGTGAATATACCAAAAACTACTGAATAGTACACTTTAAATAGTAAATTGTAGGATATGTGAATTATATCTCAAAATAGCTGTTATATAAAAAAAAAGACAGCAGTATCACAATTCCATAGAATTTCGGTTGTTGATACATTTCTGATAATGATGATGACAGTTTGTTGTTAAACAAAGTCATATTTCCACACTTAGTGCTTTTTGGCACTTTTTGTTCAAGTAGACAACATATGGACAAGCACTTTAAAATGATGTCTGCATAAAATGACTCTTGCTTCAATATTTTTATTTTGTCCTGAATTTATCTATAAGTCAGATAGTGAATTTACTCACTGGCTAACATCATCTGTATATTAATTTTTGCAATTTCTAATGGTATAGAAAAGATTTACCTAATAGGATATTAGAAAGAGCTTATCACCATGACTCCCACAAAACTGCATTAAACATTGCAACCTCTTTTAGGCAGAAAAAATGTGATCTCTGAGGAGCCTCTAAGCAGTTATTATTTAAATCTAGGTCAGGTCTTACTAAATAATCATAATGGCTGTTTTAATGGAGGCTAAAGTTTATTGTTTTTTTTAATGACTATTATTTCATTGTACCAGAGCATGGCCACAGAATGAATCAACATCAATAATCCAACAAGAACATACACAAAAAGAGTGTGCTTTCAACCTACTGCAATTAATTTGTAAAAAACAAAAAAATTGAAATGGTTCCTCTAAGCTATAAAAATCTGCTGACACCAAATAAAATGGAATTGCCTAAAACAGAGGAAATGGAGGAATTTCTTGCTATTGCTCTGATAAAGTGAAGTCCTAACTCTTAAAATAAATGTGTGTGAGACCACAGACTGATACATATTTCATGGAAAGATTGATCCAGACTAGGCTGTTTCTCTAATATGGTATTGAATGACTAGAAGATAAAATTGATAGACTGGTGTGACAGTCATGATCATCTAGAAAATAATAATATAATAATGTTTTTAAAGCATCATAAGCCACCTCAGTTATTTCATATTTCCATTTGGTCAGATTTTCCTTGTGATATCAAAAGAGCTCCATTCTGTTAGAAGGCATTAGTACTGTTACCCAAAGGATGTAAGGTATTTTTCCAAATGACAGGGGAGAACCATCAGAATGTCTTTAAGAGAATAACAACCCAGTAAGACTCTGACTGGTTCTATTGATTATTCACATGCTTATTGCTCATGTGAATATTTGCGCAACCTGGTGACTGTTGATTAAGCACCAGGTGCAAATTTTGTGAAATGTGCTTTTCAGGCTAAAAATTTGGAGCAGAAAAAAATCCATAATAGTTTTGATTTTTTTTTTTCAAGTAAAGGGACTGAATAAGCAAAGGCCATTTTTCCATTTCACTAGAAATCTGAACACAAGATTTATGCTTTTCTAATACTCTGCACAGAAATTAGGTGGTATCAGTATAGACCCAGATTGGAGTTACAGTGTCACCTATCACAAGTCATGTGACAGAGGGCAAGTAACTTAACCTCTCAAAGTTGCATCTTATAAAATAATCCCCACCTCACAAGGCTGTGCTGAGAACTAAACGAGATGATATAAGTGAAAAGCATGCTGCAATCTGTACTGCAGATGAGACAGACGGACATGTTGTTGTTACTAGCACCAACAGGCTTCCACTAGAAAAATATTTATTGAATTTTTTTGTGTGTGTGTCAGATTCCTTATTGTGGCTATAAATAGCAGACTGAAAGTCATGAGCCCCATCCTCAGTGAGGAGGCACAGACAACACAAACAGGTAACAGCGACCTTCAGAGCCTTAGTGTAGGAATGTCAAGGAGCCATGAGAAGTGTCAAGAGGGTATGTGTGGTAGGGCAAAGAGGCAGAGAGAAGGTGATTATCAGAAGTTTGCTTCCAGGCACAAGGGAGAAGAGAATTCCAAGCTGAAGGAGGTGGGAGAGAAGAGTTGTCACAAGTGCTTGTCTGTTGCTGAAATCTAACTCTGCTGGTCTAAGTCATAGGCTAGGTCAGAAAGGACCCCATGTGGCATGCTGAGGAGTAAGACTTTATTTCATAGGTCAGCTTCCCACACAGGCTTGATGATAAAAATGACCTGGGGTACTAACTAAAAATACCTGTGTTCAGGCTGGATATTTTGATTTTTGTTGGTCTAGTAGGATCCAGAATGAAGAATTCTTTTTCAATTCCACTTGAATCTTTTAACCAGGCAACTTTGGGAAACACTGGTGTGGAGGAATTGAACAATTCTGAACAAGGAAGATATATAATCAAATTTGCACATCAGAAAATAATACAAATAGAACTTATTTTTCCTATCTAGCTGAGATTTTAGTTCTAGGCATCTATAATTAACAATAATTTACTGTATGTTCTCAATTGGCTAGAAGAGAGGAGCTCAAATGCTCTCATCACAAAGGAATGATAAATTTTTGTGATGATGAATATGCTAAATACCCTGCTTCGATCATCACACATTGCATACATGTATTAAAATATAACTCTGTACCCCATAAATATGTACAATCAATACATGTCAATTAAAAAAGACAGGAAGGAAGGAAAGAAAAAAATGAAAATAACACAAACAGATAGATGAAATGCTAAGCATCCTAAACATCATGAAATAGAATTTCCTTTTTGAGTTGTATTGTTCCCCATTTGAATGATGAATTACTGAGCAAAACCAACCAACCAACCAAAAAAACCCTCACAAAAATGAATGGTATTCATGTTTTCCCCTAAGCCTCCTATTATTTCAATTATTAATGAATCACTCATTTCTGTCTTCTGGTGTGGAACTAGTAATTGTTTCTATTTAATCTGTTATCAGGGAGTAGAATCTGGTTTTCAACTACAGCTTCAAATCTTAAGAGCTGTGCTGCCCAATATACAGCCACTAGTCACACTAAGCACTTGAAATGTCTCTATCTAAATTGATATGGGCTATAAGTACAAAAGCACACTGGATTCCATAAACTTAGTATGAAAAAAAAGAACATAAAATGTCACACTAATTTTTTTATTAATGTTGAAATTATAAAATTCTAGGTATGTTGCATTGTATGAAAGATATTATTAAAATTAATTTCACCTATTCACCTATTTATTTTTTAATGTAACGTGGAATTCCCCTCAGAATGAGTCTTTGAAGAGTTTGCAGGCTTGATCAGAAGGCAAGACTTATTCACAAGGCAAACAGTA